CGCGAGGCGTCGTTGGCTCCTTTGCAGGACGGCTGGCGGATGCCGCGCGAGCTACCGTGGCTGCAGCACAAGGAGAGCAAGCGGATCGTGCCCGTCGTCGGCTCGGCCGCCCAGTTCCTTCAACGTGCAGCAGCCGATGCCGACATGGCGGGCTTCATCTTGAACGGCAAGGCTAGCCAACCCTTCACTCGACTGATCGCACGGCCCGGCGCCAGCGGCATGCGATGGACCGGCGCCGGCTGACCGACTGCACTTCGCGCCGCCGGCGGCTCTCCTGCTCGAGCACGGCGCCAACGTCAACTCGGTGCAGCACTCGACTCTGGGGCCTCTCGTGCCTCTCGTGCCCTTCCAGGTGCGTGCCCGCCGCCCGCCGCCCGCCCACGTGCGCGCACGCGCGCGCTCGTCCTGTGTCGCCTCGCCCCTCCTCGCTCCCCTCTGCCCCACGCCACGCTCCCCCCCCCTACTGTCCGGCAGGTGCCGCAGCCGGCGGGCGTTGCCGGCGTGCTCGGCGGCGCGCCCGCGCCCTTTGCCCCGCCGCCCCAGGTATCCCCCTCCCCGCCGCACCGCCCCCTTCCTCTCCTCGGGCGCACGCGCGCACGCACGACACAAGCCGCGCGCCTAGCCCGCGTGCTCGTCCGACCCACCTCCCCTTCCACCGCAGGTCGGCGCCCTCTGCAAGCCCAGGCGCGCCGTAGAGAGTGCCGACGCGATGTCGATGATTTTGGCCTGCGAGACGGGGGCGAGGAGCGGTGTGAGGGCGCCATGTGCCCGGGCGACGGGCTAAGGGGCCGCTACACGGGCCGCAGAGCTCACCAGCGCCGGCACGGTGGCGCTGGCATCGATTTTGCTTCTTGCGTCCGCCTTGGGCTGTGCCTGACCGAGGGCTTACTCTCAACGTCGACGTTACGGCTAGCCTTTGGCGAAGGCAGAGGTCGCCGCCCGGCTGACTCGTCTCGGTCGCATCACCGTCACCGAGATCAATCGGGTCGCCGCGTCGTTCGGCCAGAATTAGGGTTATAGTTATAGGTTAAGGTTAAGGTTAAGGTTAAGGTTAAGGTTAAGGTTAAGGTTAAGGTTAAGGTTTAGGGTTAGGGTTAGGGTTAGGGTTAGGGTTAGGGTTAGGGTTAGGGTTAGGGTTAGGGTTAGGGTTAGGGTTAGGGTTAGGGTTAGGGTTAGGGTTAGGGTTAGGGTTAGGGGTTAGGGTTAGGGTTAGGGTTAGGGTTAGGGTTAGGGTTAGGGTTAGGGTTAGGGTTAGGGTTAGGGTTAGGGTTAGGGTTAGGGTTAGGGTTAGGGTTAGGGTTAGGGTTAGGGTTAGGGTTAGGGTTAGGGTTAGGGTTAGGGTTAGGGTTAGGGTTAGGGTTAGGGTTAGGGTTAGGGTTAGGGTTAGGGTTAGGGTTAGGGTTAGGGTTAGGGTTAGGGTTAGGGTTAGGGTTAGGGTTAGGGTTAGGGTTAGGGTTAGGGTTAGGGTTAGGGTTAGGGTTAGGGTTAGGGTTAGGGTTAGGGTTAGGGTTCGGGCTATGGGCTATGGGCTGTGGGCTATGGGCTATGGGCTGTGGGCTATGGCCTGTGTGCTGTGTGCTGTGTGCTGTGTGCTGTGTGCTGTGTGCTGTCGGCTGTGTGCTGTTGGCTATTGGCTGTTGGCTGCGGGCTCGTGGCTCGAGGAGCTCGGAGGTGGGAGGTGCTGTTGGCTGTTGGCTGTTGGCAGTGGGCTGTTGGCTGTGGGTGTATAAGGCACACATGCAACAAGGCCTTAAAACCAGAGCAAAAAGTCAACGCCGCCATCTGCACTCCGGCTGGCTCTCAGCAGCGACTGTCTGGCCGCACGATAAGAGCTCTGAAGACCGTAAAAAGCGTTTTCTATCACCAAAAGACGTGGCCACATTGTCAAACACTATGATGCCCTTGTTCATCTAGCAGGAGGGCGATTGCCAAGGGTAGCTCGGCCCAAATTGTCGCGATAGCCGAACCGGCCAAAAACGGCGCCATCAGCAGCGACTGGCAGACCGCACAAAAACACGTTTATCAACCAAAACAAGGCTGGTTACCGCGAAAGCAAGACTGGAGGCGCGCAGGTGTGTCTGGCTAGCCAGGCT